AAACTTCTCTCCTCGATTAAAATCGAGTTAGTTTTCGTCGGCGAACGTACATACGCGTCTCTTATCTTTGGGTGTGTAGCCGATTCGATTAACCCCAGCATTATCGTGTTGTGTGCACTAACAGACCTGAAACGAGCGAGCCCAGTGGTACCGGAGCTGACCACTGGAGGACTTCTACTAAATTCAGCTCGACGAACGCCTCACGGAGGTGGGACCTCTATCGCTTCCCTGACGTCCATCGAGGATGATCCTCGCATCGTTGGTGGTAAGTCGATACGGTCTGCCTGTCGATTTTTCTCTCTCTCTCTTTTTTTTTGTTTGATTTTTTTCTTCGTCCTTTTTTTTCTTCTCTCTCCTTTTTTTGTTTATCCCTTTTCTTCGGGCTGCTTCGCTTATTGCTATATATTATCTATCTTATTAGAGTATATACTATTTTCTATTATTCTTTTTTTCTATCTTTTCTCATCGTATCTATTTCTTAATTTCTCTCGTTCTCTCACTCTCTCTCTCTCTCTTTTTCTCTCTCTTTCTCTCTCTTTCTTTCTCTTTCTATCTTTTTTGATTTCTTCTTTTATATTTCTGATCGAACGAACTGCTTCCTTTCGCTCCGTAACGCGGCACTGCCAACAGGCTGACGCATGTAGGCGTGTTCGGAGTACAGTTGTTGTCTGCAATGCTTTTAGGGTATCACTGGGACTGTTCAGACTGGGTCAGGCCAAGCCAGAACCCCTTACCTAACATCACGGAGATACCTGGCAGCGAAGTTCCAGACTCGTCCAGCTTCCACAGCAATGAGAGTAACGAGTCGAACACTCATCAATTATCGTCAAGTAAGGAACGGTCAAGCATGTTGGGATTAATGTATACGCGTTAATGAGCTTCGTACTATTATTGCAGATATAACTATTCTACGTAGTGTAATAATATCTCCTTTAGATCATTAGAACGCTTGTAGCACCTGCCAATGAAGATGCACTTTAATCAAGGATTAAACGGTTCTTCTATGATTAACACGACTGCATGCCATCAAGACTATCTTTTAAAGAACCACTTCGAAATAATACACTTCTATGTCTATTTTTAATACTATCCTAACTAATCGTGCACACATATCGTAGGTATAATTTACTAGCTCGCCTAAGTCGTGCCTTTCAAATAATTATACCAGGCGATTACAAACAGATCAAGTTATTTATAAAATGATAGTGAGCACATTAAATATTCATAATTCAAAGTAGATCATTCTTAATTCACGACGCGATCTAACAAAAATAGTGTTTTCCTCTAGTATAGTCTATATAATTATGCTGGGCATGCACACAAATGTTGATCGATCAAAGTTAAAAAAAAACAAACAAACAGAAACATACCTGAAATAAGAGTTGAATTTTATTTAAAATATGTTCCTAAAATGAGATAAAAAAAGAAAAAAAAAAAGAAAACATTCGATATTCAATTATTAATTAAAATATTTTTCCACAGTGCACGGTCCAATAGATCAAACGAGAGACATCGAGACCTTGAACGAGGATCAGGAGTCCGAGTACGTCGGTGATTCAGAATGTGGAACCGAATTTTCGGAACGGTATCACCATTGTACTGAGACACAACGTTTGAATCCTTTGGACAGTGGCGGGGAAGGGGAATATAAGTACAAAGGTTCCGAAAGTTATCTACGACATCCGAATTCTTATCTCCCCCATTATAATATTCACACGGATACCGAAAACGAGACGAATCCATTGAACGGACGTTTGAGCACATTAGAATCTGACGAGGAAGAAGATGACGTAGTGCCTTATGGTTTTCCAAGCACCCGCCGCAATCGATGCCACAAAGGGGATGAAGTAGACGAAATTGGTTCGGTTATCACGACGCTCGAGGAGAGAAATTCTTTGTTGGGTGGTGCTACGAGCAACAGTGATCTCTCAACGAATCTCTGCGAAATCGATGATTCCGAATACGAAATAGCCGATCAAAAAAGTAACGGACGTTTGTGGTTGTCTGGTAACGGTATCACTCAAACCTCGGTGTGACGAACGGTGCTACAGGAAGATTCGATTAGACTGATTCGAAACGCGTTTTCCTTCGTACTTTTCTCAGCACTACTACGAGGGAATCCAGGTGTTTATAAATCTACTGTTTTGTATATAGATATTATCGAATTAGTTAGACAGTCTGTACAGATAGAGTTACATAAATAAGGAAACTGATAAACGTTATATACATATTATATTAATTAGACACCGGTGTGCGATCGTCTATTATATCTCGAATTGACGGTATGTAGGTAATTAATTAATTGATTAATTAATTAATTATTATTACAGCACCAGTACACCGTGCCTAAAAACTCTCAACGCGATATAGAGTTTTAGGTACTAACGTACTTAATTTTGCAATTCCTCGGAAAAATTTACTTTATACTACTCGATTCTTATTTCTGTATTAAAATATTTTTGATTTATATTTCTTTGATAATCGTTTTACGAGCTTACCATTATCGGAATGTGCCGAAAATTATTTTCTATTTTGCGTTTACCTGTTTTTCTTTTGCTGGGAGGACAAAAAAGAGAAAAAGATTTATCCGAGCAAAGAAGTATTTCATAGAAACTACAAACATTATATATATATACATTTAAAAAATTATTTCAATTAAAAGTTATTATTTCATCAAAAAAGAAGTAAACTTAATAAATCACGACCGCGTCGTCAGACCAATGACTATCGTTTAATAAATCTATCATTTAAAACTTGGATATTATCCGCAACTATAATTCCAGCGCTAAAAATACATAAGTATCTTTATGTATTTTTACTATTCGCTAACTGATTTTATTTTGATTACGTGTAAAAATGAAGAGAAACGGACTACTTAATGAATATAAATGAATGAATAAATATATATATACATACACAGACACACACTTATGTAGAGAATAAGTACTGTATAGATTAGAAAAATGAATTGACTCTAGTGAAAGAAACAAAAAATGAAAGAAAAAATTTGCTACTTCTGCGAGCGTTAAATGCACGCATCGAGTCGCTAGCAGATTAATAATAATTTAAAAAAATAAAAAAATAAAAAAAAGATATGAAATATTTTTACTGTGATGATAATAATGTTTATACGATGATCAAATACTATAAATAATATCGTAATAATTGCAATGTTAACGATGCGAGATTTTGATAAAGAACAAAAGAAAAACTAAAAAAGGGAAAATGAAGAGTTTAAGAGAGAAAGAGAGAGAGAGAGAGAGAGAGAGAGAGAGAGAGAGCATGCGTAAATCGAGTCAACGTTCCATTTGTTTATAAATTTATTAATTAATCATTTTTTATTTCTTTACTCTCTTCCGTGAACCATTACCGATTCTAAAACGATACGATCGATCGCATTATACATGGTGCTACTATCTATCTTATGTCACACTTCACCGATTAACTATTACACATGTCTCTTTAATAAGACTGCACAGCGAATACATTGCCGTTTCGCTGACCGTCATTGCTCTTCATCATTTCATCATTCATGATTCATTAACACGCTATAGATTTTGCAATGGTATAAATGAGATCCGTATAAACGTTAAAAAAGAGACGTACTTCTTAAACTGCCGATTTCATTCTTAATGCCATATTATTGAACACATTTCTGTTGATTAATTTTTTATGAATTATATAAATATATATATATATAAACACAGATACAAAAACACAGACACAGGTATATATACATACATATATACATGTATAAAGAAAGAAAGAGAGGAAAACAGTTATTACGTGCCTAAGGTCTTTAATCATTGTCACTTCCCTAACGTGTAATTTCCGTTTTATCAATATATGTATAGAGGCAGCTTTAATGGGTGAGGTATATATGTTTTTATACATATAGAGAATAATTATCGAGAAATTCAGTTTTATGTTCCTGTTCATTAATGAACCGTACGTAAGTGTACGTCCCATACGTCGTATTTTAAAGGGACGAAATTAGCAAGATGCAAAATGTTTAAATAATATAATGCGAAAACAGGGTGTTTTTTCTTTAAACGTTTGACCAAGAGCGGAAATAAAAGCGTTTTTTTTATGTAAGTTTAATAATTATTGTTTCGTCTAGTTTGAAAGTCTCGCACGCGTCATTTAAATGGATACAATTGAACCCAAATAATTTATTCTATATTAGAATGAAATAAAAAGATTGTACAGTTAATTTAAAATAGATTGTATCGGGATCGTCATCGATGAACGTGTTGAGACTTTTAATATGCGTCGGAACGATAGACTTTTCCTAAATATTAAGATTAATTTTAATTATTGACAAAACGATCTACACTTATATAGCCCTCTCTGGTCAGAAACATTGAAACGAAGTTGACCTGCCATTCTTTTTTATACATTTTATTTAAAAAAGAACGATCAAACCGATTACGCGCATATCATGTTATTATTAGTAGAAAGAAAAGAAAACCAGCATATAAGATTAAATAAATGATTTAAATAACATCGTGTAATTAATAAACAATTTGGCTTTTCCTTCAGCCATTGTGGAACGTTATCCTAAAATGTATTAGTGATTACGTTACATTTACCCGCATCATTTACAATAAATATGCAAAAACTTTATTGAGCGATCGGAATTGACAAAAAAATAAACATAATTGATTTATATGCCATCATTTTTTATTTATAATATTTTAAGAAGAAGCTTTAACTTTAGGCCTACATACTCGCGGGTTATTTAAGATTTCCAATCAAGTAAGAATTATAGGAGATAAATGTTTGTTTTTCATGTCAGAAATAAGGATACACTACAAGTGTTTAAATGAATTAATTATTAAGGAAGTTTAAATGGAAAGTGGGTACAACTTCTAAATTCTCTTCAGATTAACCCTGCTCATAGAATACATATCGATAAAACAAAATCTTTCAAAGAATGAGGAACTTGACTTATTATAATTATAAGGCTATAATTAATTTGTACAAGGTCAACCTATTGTAATAAAGAAACCAATCTTGCCTATAATTTATTAAACTGTTAATAATTATCACTTCATTTCACAATTTTTATACTTATTTTCATTCGCCGAATATTTGCACATAAGTGCATAATACAGTTAAGATGAGTTTATACAATATAGTTACTAAAAAATGTTAATTTATTTTATATTTAACATAAAAAAAAAAAACAAATAGGTAAACTAACATTTATTTGGTTGTTTATTTTAAAAATGTTAAAATACTTTTTTTTTATTTAAATTCGACACATTATCTACAACAAAGTCTTAGAATTAACTTAAATTTTTTATTAAGCATAAACCTAAGTTTAGTGTTTCTCCAGAGCCAACGTTAGTAATTCGTTCATTGGATTTAAAAGTATACGTGGATCTTCAATCAACCCTGCACCGACCATTGCACCCATGAATAGCTGAAATGTTGATTTGAAAAATATGGTTATATAAATAAATAAATATATATATATAGTTAACCCAGCCATGCGTTGTTGTGGCTTTGTTATAATACGCTGATTTAATATAATACTAAACTATTCAATGCAGTCAAATTAGTATTCAGTTATAATTTCGGAGAGTTGAAATTAAGTACAAAACATAAAATTTTATAAATGTTCATTTTTAGCAATTTTTAAGATTATTTTTTTCATTTTAAATTATAACAATTAATAATTTTAATTTAAAGTGACAAACTAAATATGTATATAAACCGAAATCAACTACAAAAAACATTAAAGTATATTAATACAATGACTTAGACTGCCATATGTCAGAGAATTATGGAACTTATAAATACTTACAACCCTTTGTCCTATAAAAAATAATCGCGATAAAAACTATCCTATTTTCTAAGTTGGAATAAAGCACACAAAATGAAAAAAATTTCATTAAGATCGGTTAAGTAGTTTCGGAGTTCATCGCGGACAAGCACTCTGACACTGAATTTTTATATATATAGAAGATAGAGATAGATAGTCAAGTTATATTTGAAAATTATTACATACTTGTTGTATGAGGAGATCCGCAAGCTTGGAATCGTTTTTCGTTAATTGACAAAGTTTTTTAATTAAAGGATGAGATGGATTGATTTCAAATCTTGGTTGAAGAATATTGTATCGCATTTCTTCATTCAATTGATGACTCTGTGTGCGTATAAAATGTCTTGCACTGGCCATATCTTGAACAGTGACTACACAAGGATGTGACTCAAGACGATTTGTCATTTTAACATCGAAAGCTTTTTTCTTCAATAGATTTTGCATATAGCTTACGAGAGCATCCAATTCTTCTTTATTGATAACACCTAAAAAAAATATCAAAAACTATAAAATTTTAGAACATTTAAAAAAAAATTGAGGAAAAAAGAAACGCAGAAACAATATACGAACCTAAATTTTCTGCTTTAGTAGCGCTGCTATCATCTCGCATCTCTTTTTCCACCGATATTAAATTATAAGAATTAAATTGCCTTAGATGCATCAAAACTAATTCATCATAAGGTTCATAACAAAATAGAACTTCAACGTTTCGTTTTTTAAGAGATTCGTAGTATGGTGACTGCTCCGCTAAAGTTCGACTAAAAACATAAATTGTTTTAAAATAAAATTATCGTGGAAAAAATTCAAGAAAATGATAAAAATATATAATAATTAGTTCTTACTTAGGCGCTGACAAATAATATATATTTTTTTGGTCCTGAGCAAGACGACTACAATACTGCGGAAGACTAATTAGTTCATTTGGAGATTTTGCAGAAGATTCGAATCTTAATAATTTTCCTATATCTTCCTGCAAATATATATATATATATATTATAAATTGATTATTACAACAGATGGTATAAAAAGAGCAACATTTCTAGAATATAAATGTTCAAAAAATCACCTTTTCAGATTGATCATTGCTAGTAACGATACCCTCTTTCAAATATAGTCCATAATCTACATAAAATTTATTAAAATCTTCAGGTTGTTTTACAGATCGTTCTTGTAAAAATTTCAGTACGCGAGCTGTAAGTACACTACGTAATTTTCTAAAAACGTTAAAAATATTATTTTGCGATGCATTCCCGTGTAATATGAATTAACAAATAATTATACAATTTTTAATCATCTTACCCAATCAAAATGCTATTTTGTAACAATTCACGACTTAAATTAAGAGGAATGTCTTCAGAATCAACAACACCTTTTACAAAACGTAACCATTTTGGTAAAAGATTTTCCGCTTTACTTTTGATTAAAATTTTTCGACTATACAGAGATACACCTCCAGTAGTGTCTCTGGCTAAATCGAATAGACCTGGTTTCTCTTCCGGAAAATATAATAATGCTTTTATACTCAATGGTACGTCGGTTGTATAATGTAATATGAATCTTGGAACATCTAAACAGTTTCCGATAAACCGGTAAAATTCTGCATGTTGTAGAGGCGTGATATTTTTTGGATCAACCATCCACAGAGGCTAAAAAATCCAATATTTTAATTATTTAAATTAAAATATATACTAAATAAATAAATAAATAAAAAACTATACAAGTAGATATATTGACCCAAATGATCTTATAAAGAGATCGTATGGTTGAACACCAACGGATTGGTACAAGATTTGATATATTTGTAATAGAACTTTAACGTGTTTTCGCAGTAAAACATTTATAACGCACCTTCCAACCAATTTTGAGAAAAAAGTTTTTAAAGTTTTGCTTTTACTTGCTTACGTATTTATATTCTTGTAAATTAATTCATAGCAACCAGCTCGATAGCGTAGGTAGTAGCATTCTCGCTTGTCGCACCGATGGTTAGAGTTCGATTTTTCGTGGAGATTTTATTATCTTTGCTACCACCCCACTTGATTTTTTAAAGTTTTTTTCTTAAAATTGGCTGGAGAGTGCATCGTTATATTTTACTACGAAAACATCTTAAAGGTATACTTATCAATACACCAAATCTTGTACCAATCCGTTGGTGTTCAACCATACAGTCTCCTTATTAACAGCTGAATACCGATTCATACCACAAAATAAAGCAGAAGGTAAATGTAATTGTAAAAATAATATAGAATTATTAAAAAATAATAAATATATATAAAACATCTTACTTGTATGGTATTAGCTCTTTGACCATTAACATAAATAGGACTTCCCACAAAATTACTGTACTTTGTAATGATACCTAACAAAAAACAAAAAACAAAAATTGTAATCAGTGTACAAGAGAGAAAAACTAAAATATTAATTACTTTGAAAAATATTTACCTTTTAGTACGCTTTCATCGCAAAATTCACGAGAGTCGGGTCTTAAATGTATAACAATTTTAGTACCTGCTTGTACACCTTCTGCTTGCGATATTTCAAAAGACCCAGATCTGTCCAATATAATAATGACAAAATTTATTATTAGTTAAATTAATTATTTTAGCTCCTTTATTTTATAATGTAATCATAATAGAAAATATTAAATAACAATTTACCCATCGGATGACCAGCAAAGACCTTCAGCATCTTTCATATAAGATTTTGTATAAACATCAACTTTGTCCGCTACCATAAATGCACTGTAAAAACCAACTCCAAATTGTCCAATAATTTTAGATGGATCTCCTTCACTTTGCTTATCTTTGATTTGTTCCAAAAATGCCTATAACGAAGTTAGTGTGAAAATGTTGTTATAAATTTATTAAATGTAAATTCAGATATATCAACATACTTTGGAACCAGAACGAGCAATTGTTCCTAAATTGGATATTAGTTCTTCACGCGTCATACCAATTCCTGTATCTTGAATAGTCAGAGTACGATTTTGTTTATCAGTAGCAATGTGAATTTCTAAATTTCTATCACCAGCTACTTCTCCTATTTCATTATTGCTTAATCTAAGGTATCTTAATTTTTCCAAAGCGTCACTGGCATTAGATATCAGCTCACGAATAAATACCTATAAATAAATATATTTATTAAAATTCAATTAGTTATTCATAATGATGATTAATAGTGAAATTATAAAAAAATATTTTTAAAACAATGAACAACCTCTTTATCAGAATACAATGATTTTGCAACGATCTGCAATAGCATTTGTGTCTCTGACTGAAACTCATGTTTAGCTTTTTCTCCTGAAAATAAAAATTATTTAATATAGGAATTACAACTATTAATGTACAACTTCACTTATGTTTATTAATATTACCTGTAATTTTTTCTGTATCTTGTATTATATTATGATATTCGGTAGAAGATTGAGTTGCAGTTTGTGATGAGAAACAGCGTATGTAGTTACCAGAAATTGCTAGAAGATAAAATCCAAGTAAAATACTTCAACAATTATGTTAATATTATATACTTTAAAAAATAAAGAAAAATAGTAAAATAAATATTTGATATGATACAATACTCTAATTGTAAGTACTAAAAATAATTACTAAAGTAGCGGCGACATAACCAAATAATCGAAAATATTTTACAAAAATATTATAATAATATCAATAAAAAAAACTATTACCAGCAAATTGTCTGCACGTTCGTTTAATAATCGTTCTCTCGACATTATAAGTTACTTGTCTAGGAAACAATTTTCCTAATTTTATTGCATGTCGGAGCCGAAAGGAGGCCGCCATCTTGAAATACTAGTAAACTCTACAAGAAATATCATGAGGTTAATAGAACTAAAATTCGCTTTTTAACCAATCACAATTAAACATTTTATAAATCCAAAGTCCCTATATCTGACGACCATGAAAACCAAGTAAGTAAATAATATTATTTATTCATTATTTTGTGTGTGTATATATATACAATTAAAAAATATTTCTTAAAAAAATATCTTGTAGAAAAAACTGTACAAATAAGGAACAGAAATTAAACTGAGCAAACTTGATATACTCATTTATTTTAATCTTCGTCTAATAGATATAATTTAAACAATAGAAAAGATGTAAAAATATTATTAACAAAATAAATTATGATGTTTGATTATTTAAGTAGCATTTGACGATTATTTGAATCTTTTTTAAAATATAATGTAAATGCAACTATGTCTTGATATTATTTCGACAAAGGTTGATAAGGTTGGTAAGCCTAGGTTAATGGCTGGGGTCAATGCGCTTGGAAATCTCCGTCTCGACTAGGCACGCGCACGAATTGATCGTCTTCGTTGAAAGAATTGCAAACCGTATCAGAGACTATGCATTCCTTTTATACATTCACCGATGCACCGCATTGCGTCAGGCACACATATTCAGTTTTAGCATAAAATATAATATCAATGTACATATTTTCTTAAAAATTCGATAATCATAAATAAATTTTATTGTAAATGTGTATACATATTGATATTAACTTACTCACATATATTTTTGACGATATAGATAATCGGAACTAAGAATTAATATATTTTAAAAATAATAATCAAATAATTGATGTATATGTAGACAGAAATAAATATTTAAATATATAGGGAGATATATCAAATTTTGTCAGATTAGAATAAGGGAAATATAGAAAGAGGCATTAATATACTATATGGTATATAAATTTTTTTATTATTATTATCTGTATAATATATTTGAAACAATATTATTCTACAACATTGCATAAAAATATACAAAGACATGAAAAAATGTCTTGACTCTCATTCGATAAAACATGTTCATGAATTTATCAACGCTGCACCGTTATCGATAATTTGCAAATGAATTTATCTAAATAAGAACATCATCCGATTTCGTGTTATTTTCAAAACATTTTACATTTATCAATCCTTTTTGAAAGACCATTTGGAAAAGTGAAGAAGTATAAGGGAGAAGAATTCAATTTATTTTCGAAACATATCCGATCTGTTTTTACAAGAATATCTAATGATGTTGTAAATCGTGCATCGTGTAAATAAGATTTAAACCTTATATTCAAATTTAACTATCGAATTTCATACTTTCTTAATTACCATACACAATGATAATTTTTTCTAGTTTACTTTTTTTTTTATAAGTTAATTGTCATCCCTTATTTTCTTATATCTTTGAACAATTAATTGTTACATATATCTAACTTACAAGGCAATAGAAAAACGCACGAAGAGTTATAGAAAAAAACAAAATATTTTTTATGCTATGTAATACATATATCGTATTTTTTTCTTTTCATTTTAAAACTAGAAATATGCACGATTCGAAGGGGTCGAAAAAGGAAGGTAGTTTCATTGACTTTATTTTCATTTTGAGATGCATTTTGCAAGAAGCATGAATGGGATAATTCTTAGTAAAAAAAAAAAAAAAAAAAAAAATTAAAAAAGGAAAAAAAGGAAAAATCACAATGGAAATTTGCTTTCGATTACATATGTATCATAAACATGTTTAGAGAGTACGTAGGCCAGAAATTAAACAAAAAAACAAAAAAAAACAAGAAAGGAAAGAAAAATTTGTTCGAAAAGATTCAACGAAAGACCTTTGACCTTCTTTATGGCCTTTGATACGATCGAAATCGGCTCATCGAATTTACCACGTATGACCTCTCTTTCCTTTTCTTCCTCATTTTCTCTTCCCAAAAGATTCAAGCTCAATTTTTAATTTTTTTTTTGTTGAGATCATTGGCCGAAGGATAACAATGATAGTAATAATATTAATAATAATAATAATAATAAAAATAATATTAATAAGGAAAAGTAATATAATAATAATAATAATAATAAAAATAATATTAATAAGGAAAAGTAAAATATAATTATAATAATAATAATAATAATAAAAATAACTGTACTCTAACTATCCATTACCAGGAGAGATATAGTTATAGCATATTTACACTTTCTTCCTTTCCATAATTTTCCTTATCACTCCCTCTTTTTTTCTCTTTTTCTTTCTTTACTATACTCTTATTTTCTTTTACCTATTGACGCACCCACACGCAACACACGCATATATATTCATTTTCTCTCTCGCTCTTTCTCTCGCTCTTTCTCTCTCTCTCTTTTTCGCCAAAAATCTTTCACATTTTCTTTCTAAATTACTGGTTATTACAATACTTCACTACTATTCGATAGCAACATAAATAATAACGCAACACTATTTTATTTACATAGCCCTTTTCTCGTTTGCTTGAACGTTTTTGTATCTACTGCCACACCCGATCGTTTTAATTTTAACTATTCTTTTCTTTTTTTTTTTTGTTCTATATGCGAGCCCACGCTGCAAGCATTGCGTATTGTGTAAAAATGATTTTGTTGTTCTAGTTATCCATCTTCGACAGGATTTTATAGACGAATGTTAACTGTGCACACAACAGACAATGGTTTTAATCGAAGAAAAAATTCTTTTCGTTGGTCGGGGCCTCACACGCAAAGATATACATATTTATATTATCATCCCAACGAGAAAGAACTATCCTTAACCATTAGCTTTAACGCTATATCACAATCGTTAAGAATAATAACGTAAATATCTTTCAAGCACATTTCGCATCTAATCTATTTCATTTCATTTTTATTTCGTTTTATTTTAATTTCTATTATTTTATTTTATTTTATTTCTCAAATAGGATCGAAACATGAAGTTTAAATATATTATGATATTTTATTAAAAATGTGTGAATCTTGTCTACTTTGCATTAAAGTGAAATCACGAAATTTGGGTATATATTACATACAATATATATATATTTCGATATCAATATTAATATTAATATTATTTTCGAGTACATATATTGTATTTAATATATACATAATATATATATATATATTTATATACATATATGCGTTAGTGTTTGTATGTTGTATGTAGATTAATTTGAAGTATCGTTGTATCTTATCGAAATAAACATTATTTTTTCACAATAAAAATATTTCTCTCCAAGTAGAAATGAGTTATTCAATCAGTAATAATGCCTATAAATTTAGGCGGGTAAATGCGATCCTTCGAATGCATCGACGCGAAACATCGAAAGGTGCGAGAGCGCGTGACACCCCGAGCGGGTATTTTTTTAGAAACGAAAAAAAAACTATTATGCTTTTTTTTTTGTTTTAATTTTTCTCTACGAGTTATAATGTCTCGTATAATAAGTATTTAGGTATCGTATTATTATTTTATTCGGATTGTCCATCTACGATATTTGTATCTTTTTTTTTTTTCCTTTACTTTTTCTTTCTAGACACGATGGATTTATATAATTTTGGTCCGATATATTCTCTCGACTCTCCTTTCGTTTATATTTTTATCCGCTTATCAAGAGAGAGGTCACGGGAATGGTTGGGAATGATAAAACGTCGTTGCTCCTTCGAAAGAGACACGAAAATAAGAGACATAATCTTATATTTTTACAATTGGCTCATATTATTGATATTCTTTCATCTTTATCTTTGGATTTATATTTATTCTACCGAGAATAAATAACCGAGGCAACAAAAAAACGTACAATGGTTTTCGCTGATATTTTGTCAGATTTGTACAAGGCGGAACGAAAATAAAAAAAAAAAAAAATAAAAAAAGAAGAAATAAAAAAAGAGATAAGAAAAATAAAATCGCAGAGAACGAAAATGAAATTAATCGTTATAATGATTATACGAGGGAGAGGTATGATTAAAGGATCAGAATTATTCTTACATTTATCGTTATTACTTTTAATTAATCGATAAATCGAAGGGTAGAGATGTTAACTCGTTAGGAGGCCATACACGTTGTATAACGTCGGTGTCTTGCAAAAGGCAAACCTACCGACTGCGCATCGTGAAAGAATGGATCGATAATCGACGAAGGCGTTACGTTGTAGGTACGCATACGTTGCGTATATACATATATTGTATATTTCGAAGTACCTTGTCGATTCATGACATCGATATCGGCCAATGGACCGTTCTCGTGCTTGCGTATTCGATATTCGTATCCTCGTAGAACGAGAAACAACATTTCGAATTAATGCGAACGTCAGGCCGGCAAAGAGAAAGAACCGTTCTTCGGTTAACATAATGAAACGGATATGTGGAATTTTAAGAAAGATGATCGTAACTATAACATTCGACGATAGAATTCGGGCCAAGGATGATTTATACGATTACACGGAAATTTAACGAAACAATTAGAATCAATTCGATAATTAAAAACAATTTCGCGATCTCACGTAAGAAATATTTACATTTATATCGTTCTATATCGGAAGATCGTATTTTTTTGATAAACAAATTTTACAATACCTACATGAAAGAGTGTTCAAGCGAATTTTTATTATTTTTATTAGGATTATGTCGCCTTTTTTTCCGCCCGATTCATCTTTTGTCGTCGTCGTCGTCGTCGTCGTCGTCGTCGTGTATAAAAATTTATTTTTGTCGTGGTATTTTTAAAAATGTAGAAAAGAGGCCGGGGTTTTGAGGTGAGAAGACACGCGCAACGATTTCATGTTAATCCTTATCCCTCATCGGTGGCTCCTACTCTCCCTCTTATTTTCAGTCTGGTATCTCCCCTGCCGTGATATCGATCCTCTTTCTTTGCCACCCTCCTCACCCCCGTACCGACGTTAGTTCGCTATACGACCTAGTGTCGACTCATCGCACAAATCGAGATATATGGATGGATTGCTAAAAAACGATGCTTCTTTTTTCCTTATATTATTTTTCACGAATAATAGAAGGGGAAACGTAAAAATCTATCTAATTAGCAATAATC